TAAATTGAACAGTACAGAAAATGAGAAAAATGACGTAGAAGACTGCCTGGAGAAAATATTCCAGAACTTAATGGAGCCACATGAAGAGGTAAAGGTTAAATAAAAGGAAAGAAAAAAGTATACAGGGAATGTATTCATATATTCTACAGATCATATACGTGATTATAGGAATTCCAGAAGGAAAAAAAAAAAACAGAGGAAAAATAATAATTGAAAGTAAAGGAAAATATTCCTGAGTTAAAGAATATTTGAATCATCAGCTCAAAAGAGACTGAAGACCATAAGACCTGAAATTGTGAAACTCCTAGAAGAAAACAAAAAGGAAAAGCTTCTGTCTCAACTTTGGTCTTGGCAATGACTTCTTGAATAGGACACCAAAAGCACAGGCAATAGAAGCAAGAATAGACAAGTGAGACGACATCAAACTAAAAACTTCTGCACAGAAAAGGAAACAATCAACAGAATAAAAAGGTAACCTACAGAATGGGAGAAAATATTTGCAAATCTTATATCTGATAAAGGGTTAATTTCCAAAATCTAGAAGGAACTCCTACAACTCAATAACAGAAAAAAAACCCTAATAACCCAATTAAAGAGTGGACAAAGGATTTGAACAGACGTTTCTCCAAAGAAGACATACAAATAGCCACAGATGTATGAAAAGTTGCGTGACATCGCTAATCATCATGGAAATGCAAATCAAAACTACAATGAAATATCATCTCACACCTGTTATAATGGCTATTACTAAAAAAACGAAATTAGCTGGTGTTACTGAGGTAGTGGAGAAGTTGAAACCCTTATACACTTTTGGTGGGAATGTAAAATGTTGCAACAGTTATGGGAATTCCTCAAAAAATTAACAATAGAACTACCATATGATCCAGCAATCCCACTTCTGGGTATATATTTGAAAGAATTGACTTCAGGATCTCAAAGAGTTATCGGCATTCCCATGTTCATTGTGGCACTGTTCACAATAGCCAACGTATGGAAACAACCTCAGTGTCCATTGTGAGACAAACTGATAAAGCAAATGTAGTATACTCATACAGAGCAATATTATTCAGCCTTTAAAAAGAAGGAAATCTTGCTATTTGCAACAACATAGATAAGCTTGGAAGACGTTATGCTAAGCGAAACAGGCCAGTCATAGAAGGGCAACTATTGGATGACTCCACTTATACGAGGTATCTAAAATAGTCAAACTAACAGAAACAGAGAATAGAATTATGTTTGTTAGGGGCTGAAGGGTGGGGGGAAAGAGGGAGTGGTTATTCAATGAGTGTAAAATTTCAGTCATGATAGGTGAATAAGTTCTAGACATTACTGTACAACATAGTGCTTATAGTTAAGAATATGGCATTGTGACTTCAAAATTTCTTGAGTATAGATCTCATGTTAAGTGTTTTTAACATATACAGAAAACAAAGGACAAAAAAACCACACACACACACACAAACAAGATGCAAGGAAACTGTGGGAGGGGTTGGATATGCCTGTTACCTTGGTTGTGTTGATCATATCATGGGTGTTTGCATATGTTCAAAAACATCAAATCATATACATTACATATGTGCAATTCTTTGTATACAGAATGCACATAAATAAAGCTGTTAAAAGAAGAGAGAGAGATTTTTTCGTGCTATGCTAAATCTTTAGAAATGCAATTTTTCCAGTTGGAATTTTTGAGTTTCAAGAAAAAATATTGTAAGAAGTCAGTTGAGGAAAGTAGGCCCCAAGTCATAGGAAAAAATGTTAGACAAAACTCAGAGAGAAGGAAAGCATGGTATCTCCCCAGCCCAAAATCTGATACATATTTCCAAGAAGATTATATGATAAAATCAACTAGGTTTGGAAAAAAAAAATAAGAACTTTGAATATTCAACAGAGCGGTAGATTGAGCACAAGGAGTACAGAAGAATCCTGTGATAAAAGGTGAGATGTTGGCTGTGAATAGAGAGATCGACAGCACCAACGTGAATTGTTTAAGGTAGAGATCCACATGCATTTGTGGCATGAGTAAAAAATGGCGATGTTCCTTCATTTCAATATTGACACAAAATATCAATGACATGTTTATTATGATATGGTGTTATTTTCTATTAAATATTTTTTCAAGAGGCTTTTCTGGTGGTTGTATATTTCCTTCAAGACTTTTCACATCTATATATTCATGTAAGAAGATCAGGACCATGAAATGTTCTTTGCATGGTGCCCTGGTAGACGCACGCACAGCTGAGACAATAACCACAGTGTTGGAGAGGGTAGCTTACAATGTTTAGGAAGATGAGTACAGATGAATACAAAAAATATTTATTGACACCTTTGATCTGGACATTTAACGAGAGGAGACTACAGTGGGGACCTTTCTTCTAATTAACTCCGTAAGGGAAAGTGAAGCTCTCCACTGCGATGCAGAGGAGGAATCCCTTATAGATCCTGCTTCCCCTTGCTGCTATTCCCTGGGATGCCCATGAAGATAATTGTAAATCCCCTTTTAGAGGGACTGAAGGGATATCAAGGATGCAGAGACCCAGACAGGCAGAGGAGTCCCTGTGGCCTTTGGTAGAGGTGAGTGAAGAAGACTAAGGCTTGGAAAGGAAAAATTCACTCACGATGCATAAGAATAACCTGAAGACTGCATTATGAAAGAGTGTAGAAGCTCCAAATGTTGCTTGGAGGTAATGGCAAGTTTAGGAAGAAATTCTACCCACTTGGGTGCTGGGCACAGGTATATATGAAACAAGATACCCCATTTATCATGCCATCTTTTGAGAGGTCATTTTATCCAGACTTAATTAGAACTCTCATCAAAACTGCATTGTGGTGCTTCCCTTTCAAAACAGTCCCCAGTTTTCTTTGCTCACTTATCCACGGCTGTCTTGTGGGTTTAATTATAATTGTACCTGGTAGCTTGGTTCCAAGTTAATTTATTTGACACCAACCATTTTTTACACGCCAACCCTGTTTTAGTTGCTGTGAGAAATAAAAGACATTTCACTACCCTAAGAGAGGAACTCAGTCCAGAGAAGGAAAAACAAATAAGTTGATGATTATTATGCAACATGATAAATACAATACAGAAACTCCAAGTATTAATGCCCAATATTTTACAGTGTTTGCTGTATTCTTGATACTACTCTGAGCATTTAAAATATATTTAGACATATTGGTAGAGGCAGTCACGTGTCTGTGAGTTAGAGCATGCCATTAGAAATATGGTGCATGGATTTAAATTCTGATTTTGCCCTTTATCAGCTGAGAATCCCTGGACAAAGTGCTTAACCTGTATGTGCCTAAGTTTTCTCATATGTAAACTGGAGATAATAATCTTATCTCACTAGAACATTATGAGCATTAGGTGAGAAGTGTATGCTTGTGCTTGGGACAGTGCTTGCCACAGTAAGTGAGTCAATACAGTGTCATATTATACTATGCTATTATTGTTATTTTAAAATATTTGGCCATTCTCAGAACCTTATCAGCTAGTATTAATATTTTCTCCATTTTACAAATGAGGAAGTAAAGGCATAGAAAGGCTAAGTAGCTTGAGGTAAGTCACAGAGTTTGAAAGCGGTGGAGAGAATTTAAACCCCGGCAATTTATTTCTGGCATCCTTACTTTCACCAGAATTATACAGTGTTTTTGTGTGAGGAGGGGAGGGGATGGCACGCTATTTTCCAGTTAGAGGAGGTAACACACACAGGAGGGTTTCATGATTTCACAAAGCAGCACAAACATTATTGGGATTACAGGGAGAGAGGAGTCAGAGAATACGAAGAGAGTTCAGTGTCAAATATGTTGGTTTGGAGCTTATGAAAGAGAGTTTGGCTGAAGAAAAATATTTGGGAGTAATAATAGTTGAAATCTTGTAAGTGGGTGAGGTTACCAAGGGAGCATATGGAATTATAGAGGTTGGAATGGATGATGGGAACCCGGGGGGCATAAACACTTGGGGAAGAGTTTAAGAAAAGCAGCCAAGTTAACGCAAGAGAGAAGATGGAAACGAAGAGTAAGGATCAGAGTATGAATAAAAATAAGGGAAACAAATGAAAAAGCCAAAGCCAGAACCACCTCTGAGTGCCACTGGGAGTCAAATTTATTGAGAATGAAATTGCAGAGCAGAGGAGGAAAAGCCTCAAGTAGGAGTGATAATTGTGTGTAGTGCCAGAGAAGACTGAATAGTTTCCCTTAGTAATCTGCAAGGTGCGGCTTAACCTGGTCAGGAGAGCTTCCGTGGAACAGCAGGGAGGAAGCACGCAGCAAAGTGTTACAGAAGAATGAGAGGTGTGCTGAGTTATACTTTATTACCATATCAAGAAGTTGCCAGTTAGGCAATGTTTAGGTCCTTTGCAGGTATTTACTTAATCCTTCAGCATCCCTCTTACATAGGTACTATTTTTAATCTCATTTTGCAAATGAATACTTAAGACTGAAAGATTAAGCAATTTGCCAAAAGACACAGAGGTAATGATAGGCATAACTGGAATTTCAGTGTAGATTCCAGCTCTACATTCTAATCCCCTAGAACAGAGATCTCCAAAGAGAAATGTGCAAGATGGTCCAATTGGTAGGAAGGAAAAATAATATAACTTCTATTATGTTTATTTTTATTCATGCTTCTTACTTTTAAAATTTATTATTATATAATATAATATTTTGAATTATTATGTCATAATATAGAATATGTGTATAACTTATAAATGCAAATACTTACACTAGAGGCTAAGCTGAAAATACTTTTAACTAATTTGTGTACCATTAAAAACATTTGGAGACACCTATTTCTGAGATTGTGCTTCTGAAGGAGTAGGTGAGAAAAAAATATCAAATATTGGTCAATATGCACAATAGTGTGAAATTAGGAAAAAAATAAAACCTCCAAGTTATTCCTTGTTATTCATTCAAGTTATTTAGCTATACTTATTCTTTTCTCTTCCACCTCCTTGTGAGCCAGTGTGCCCTTTCCTTCATTCATGGGTAGCTCTGCTGGGGATATGGAGAGTGGAAACCTATTGGCAGTGACTGAATTTATCTTCACTGGCTTTCCCCAGATCCAGGATGGTAGTCTCTTGTACTTCTTTCCTTTACTTTTCATCTACACCTTTATTGTCATTGGGAATCTATTGATCTTCTTTGCTGTAAGACTGGACACCCTTCTCCACAATCCCATGTATAATTTCATCAGTATCTTTTCCTTTCTGGAGATTTGGTACAACACGGTCACTATTCCCAAGATGCTCTCCAACCTCATCAGTGAAAAGAAGACCATTTCCACGACTGGCTGCCTCTTGCAGATACATTTCTTCCATTCACTTGGGAATCCAGAGGGGGTCTTGCTGATCACCATGGCTATTGTCAGATATGTTGCCATCTGCAATCTTCTTTTCTATCAAATGATCATGACAACCCAGCTGTGTGCTCAGCTCTCTGCAGGCTCTTGCATCTTTGGTTTCCTCATCCTACTTCCTGAGATTGTAATGATTTCCACACTGCCTTTCTGTGGCCCAACCAAATCCATCAGATATTCTGTGACTTGGTCCCTGTGCTGAACCTGGCCTGTACAGACACATCCTTGGTCCTGATTGAGGATGTGATCCATGCTGTGGCCATCATCATTACGGTCCTAATCATCGCCTTTCCTCATATAAGAATCATTGCTGTGATCCTGAGGATTCCTTCTGCTGAGGGTCGGCAAAAGGCTTTTTCTGCCTGTGCAGGCCATTTCACAGTCTTCCTGATATTCTTTGGCAGTGTGTCTCTCATGTACTTGTGCTTCAATACCACTTACCCACTAGTTTTGGACACAGCCATTGCACTGATGTTCATGGTCCTTGCCCCAATCTTCAATCCCATCATTTACAGTCTGAGAAACAAGGACATGAAGAATGCAATTAGAAAACTCTTCTGTCTTCAAAAGGAGTTGAACACAGGAAGAAACAGAGGAAGGAACCACAGGTTTCCTTCTGCTGTTTTAATGTTTCTCTAACAGATTAAAATGTGAAATTACTCTATAACTAGCTCTTTGTTACACTGACCCTTTTGTCTGTTACCCTGATTATTTCCCTTATATCTAGGAAAACATAACTATACTCTGTGTCACCATTATGAAACTTGAAGTGTATATAATCAAGAACTTTATTATGGGGTTGAAAGTTTTGCTTTCTTTCTTCTAAAAAATTGTAATTAAAGAAAAAATTGCTTGCCACTGTGGAGAGTTAGAATTGCACTTCAGAAGTTGGCCATGTGCTTCAAGATATTATGTCTCTGTTCAGGTAATAGATCTTGGGCAAGTTTTCTATTTAATTACGGATCATAGATTACCTGGGTAGGTTTGTCCAGATGCAGATATATAAGAAAAAGCAAAAATAATACTTAAAGTAAATTATGCTTTTATTTTTAGCTATGCAATTAACTCCATTAGAATAGTAAGCACATATATTTAGTAGGTCTAAATTTTTAATATTGCCAGACATGTTCATAGGAAAACTACAATGTAGAACACTATTTACAGTAATACACTTTGTTACACACAGATACACACAGATATGAATTTTAGTCATTGCACGCGTTTCCAAGGCTAAGTATCTTCAATTTCTTTAACATTTTTAGTCAAAAGCCTTTGCATCTGTTGAATGGTAGTTTCAAAAAACACATGATTCATTTTACTTTTTAACTAAATAACTCTAAAAACTTTCTTTGCCATAGCCAAAACTATTGCCTTAATTTAAGTTTTTATCATCATTTATGCACAACCATTATAATTACCTTTATAAAACACAAGTACAAATTTTGGTATGAAGATAATAATTTTATCCCACATTTAAATTTTCTCCCTCAATAAATCCAATAAAATGACCAAAGCCAAATCCATATTAATTTCTTTAGAGGCCTCGAACCTATAAAGATACACAAAACACAAAACAAGACCTTCACATTAATCCCCCCAAAACAAACGAAAACTTGGGTAAGTCCTGAGAAACAAGAAAAGGCGATTTCAATGGAGAAAATTTAAATGATTTCTTAAAGTCATAGTGTATACGTATATATACAAGGGAATTCAGTATAGGCAAGAGAAGGGTCTATTTGAGAAATGTTTTGGAGTAACATTTTTGGTAAAAGTGTTGGAAATTCCAAACAGAACAACTTGGATTTTGATAGATGTAGATTGGGGCAGGGGTTAATTAATGGATATCTGGAATGTTTCTACTCATCAAGTGGCTGGCTTAGATATCTTTCTCCTAGTCATCCTTTGGTGGATGATGTTCTTAAGTAAAGTTGGGACATCTTAGCTTAAAAAGTCTGCATTTAAGATTCCACAACCAAGAGAAAAAAGGCACATTAGTGGCTGCCTCCACATTGGCCATAAGAATTAGAATTCTGAGTCCTAACAAGGAAACCATTAAAATTAAAGCATTGCTGATAAATGCATCTGTGAATGGAGAGGAGGCTGTTTGATACGATTACACATTTCCAGCCTATATGGCATTTGACACTGTATCCAACAATTTTGAACATGAATTAGATTAATCACAAATGAAAAAACAAACAAAAACCAATAAGCAAACAAAAAATTACACCAATGAAATCTCTACTTGACAAAGGATTGCAATTCACGGCTTCATGGTGGACTCCCAAGGAAATCTGTATTCTTGTTCCATGGGCAACCAGAAATCAGAACTGATATGTTAGATCCTAAGTTTCCAGCAGCATGTGTTGGAAAGGAAAATGGACCACAGGTGCAGGAGAATTCACAGAGAGACCATGGAGCACATATAATGCATTAAAGAGATGCTGCCAAGTACAAAAGCTTGCTATTGTCAGTTAAGTGATACAGAACATTCCAAACTAAAGGAAAACAAATCAAAAGATTTAAAAATGAGGGGGCTGGCCTGATGCTGTAGTGGTTAAGTTTGCATGCTCCGTTTCAGCAGCCTGGAGTTTGCAGATTCAGATCCTGGGCGTGGACTTAGCACTGCTCGTCAAACCACGCTGTGGCAGCATCCCACATAAAACAGAAGATTGGCAACAGATGTTAGCTCAGGGCCAATCTCCCTCACACAAACACACACATACACACACACACTAAGATTTAAAAATGATTCTGTCTAATCTAAAAGTGTGTTGATTTCTACAAATGTCGCAAAGGGCTTGATATAGTGCAATTGTTTATCCTTTTCTGGTGGTGCATTAAAAAAATGGGCATGGGCGAGGAGAAGAAACTTTTTCTTGCTTCTGAAAGCAACAAACTTATTGGAATTAGAGAATAAACAGACCATGCAAACACGTCCTCCTGCACTGCTGTCATTGGTGCCCATCTGCCCAACCAAACATGAAGCTGAGTTGTACTGTGGCAACTGTCTTTAGGACTCAAGCCCACAGGTAAGGCTAGTCTGCGAGGTCACAAAAAGGGGGCACTGTTGTCATTCAACACTTTATATGTCTAGATTTCCTAACCCTTGGATAAGGACAAATACAGACAAATTAATTAAGCATTTCTTTTTCTAAAAGCAAATTAAGTTACTCTTCTTCCTTGTTAATTTATGCTTTTTCTCATAGAAATGATTTTATTTCTAGAAACAGTGAACAGATGAACTTCAGATTATATCTGAAAAATAAGCTTGCCAAATGCTGCTGATACTAAAAACAGTTTAGTTATCACGGTAGAAACATAGATAATCTACATTAAATTGCATATTCAAAGGAGGATATAAAATGTTTCTTAGAATTAAATTTCTGTTACTGTACTACGCTCAAGAGAAACTTTAAGGAAAAAAAATGTTTCCTGATTATTTTCAAAGGTTAAAAATAAACATGTCTGGCAAAATGGTAGTTAATATGAATTTGGTTTGACAAAGTATTCTAATTTACCAAATTCAGTAATTAGATGGAGGAAATATCTCTGGTGTTGTCAAAAATATATTCGATCACCACTGTCTGAGCCCTAGATAATGTGTATGCTATGCTAGGCTAGGTTTTGTTGCTTATTGCCTTTGCAGCCTAAGGACAACAGTGCTGGGCTTAGCCCCATTTGCTTTAGATCTTTAAAACAAAATAAATCTATTTTTTCTCCTTCCTCCATCATCATTTGGGAGAGATTCGTAATATTATAAGGCAATGAGTTCACCATATGTTACTGGTACTTTGGATGGACTATTTTCTTGATCAGGAGACATAGGCACTTGGCTGCCCCTTTCAAATCTTTGTTCACTGGTCATGAGCCTTGGGACACTTTTGTATTTCTTAATCTACAGGTTTATTACAAAAAATACAACGTAAAAATAACCCAGTGGAAAAGATGCATCGAGCAATATATGGAGATGGTTTGGGTCTTGGATCTTCCATGCCCTCTCTTAGTGTACGACCCTCCAAAATATACTATATTTCTAATGAGAAAACCTCAGTTTGAAAATTCTTAAGACATGATACATTCTATATAATCTAAAACTCATATGAACTTTACCACAGGGGAGTAAGATGTGTAACTCTGTTTCATGACTAATTGGGAAAAAAATGATTTCGGAAATGTGTCCAATTAATTTTTAATGTCTATATATTTTGTTTGTTTTGAATTTACACAAGTCCCCTACCCCACTCCCAACACCGTGTATGTATTTCTGTGTATATTTAGTGTGTGCCACTTGGGGATTTGTGTGTGTGTGTGTGTGCATGTGTGTAAAAGACAACACTGTATTGGAGCATGCATTTTCAGGTATGTGATGCAACAATTGGAAGGAGGTTAATGCAGCTTAAAAATGAGCATAGACTGTTAATAATAGCAAATATTTAACTTAAGAAAGGATCACAAAAAGTAATTTTAAATATTCTAAATTTAAATATATAATGAAGTTATAGAGGACTTTTAATAGTTGAAGTGTATCAGTTTGTGACAGTAAGGTTAGTGATCAATAAAAAATAATTACAAACTATAAAAATGCAATGGAAGAAATAAAGACAAAACTGAACACTCTAGAAAGCCAAACTAGGGACTTAAAATTTTGAATCGAGAAAATATCATAAAATTCAAAGGAGAAAAAGATAAAGTGTCCTGCAAGATTGATGACATGGATAAATCCTAGAAATGCAATATTAACGAAATTGAAATTCCAGAAAGAGAGAGTATCATAAACTGAGGAGACTCTAAAACTTCTACAATGATTCTAATAGAAAAAATACCGTAAAACAAAGCCAGACAAAAAAACCATTTCTGTTTCTAATTAAAATGGAATAGCTTGTATTAGACTTAACTCTTCACTAAAAATACCAAGGAAGCTGGATAAAACAAACAAAAAACTATTCGGAGGTATTGGACAGCTATCAACACTGAGGCACTTAAGGGCCAAGATCCTTGCAAGAAGAGAAACACACGGTAGAATTTGATATTCAGCAAGTAAATTTTTATTCAGATGTTTTCCAGATATTAAGTGAACAATTAGATCAAGGCCAAGTTGATCGGTGGAGAAGCTCCACTAAAGTTGAGGATTAGGAGGCTGAGAGTCTAAACAGAGTGCAGCAAGGCACAAAGTGCTTGAGGCAGGAGCAAAAATGGGAGTAGTAACCATAAAAAAGGAAAAAGACTTTATAAGTTACCAGGCTATCAGTAGGGACTGCAGAAGGGCTCCTTTCTTGCTGAAAGACTATGCAGAAGGGGACTAGCCTTTAAAAATATTGAAGCCTGTCTCTCAATCAGCTAAATCCATGGTGGTGAAGTTAATGTGCGTGACTGCTTGCTAGAAGCAAAAGTCAATCCTCTTTGAGGAAAATAACATAGTCCACAGCCTCAGTTATTTCTATAATTTTCATAAACAATTTCTGGCATTTGATTTAAAAATTACCTGAAAAACTGAGAGACAAGATCAAAAAACTAAAAATGAACAGGAGAGACAGACTTACAGGAGATCCAGATATTGGAGTTATCAGACGTGCACTTTAGCTTGGGATTATTATGTTTAAGAAAATAGAAGACACAAAAAGTACACACAGTAGATA